GACGTCGTTCAGCGCTTCCGCAGAGTCTGGCGAGGACGAGCACGGCGCGCCTCCGCCGCGTTCGGTCGCGTCGGTCGAGATCGAGGCGCCTCCTCCTCCCTGAGATCCCTCCAGGCCGAGATCCAGACGCGCGGCGTACACCGCGGCGACGGCGGACTTATCCGCCGCGACCTCGCCGCGGAGGACGTCGTTTATCACCGCCGTCTCCGTCGCGGTGACCATCGCGGAGACGGCCGCGCGTTCGTCCCCGAGCGTCGCCGCGGTCGCGGTCGCGAGGACCGTCGCCTTCGCGTGTTCGATGTCGTCCGCGAGAAGAAGTTTTCGAAGATGATGATGATGATGTCGCGGGGCCGGCGCGCTGTTCTCGACGTCGGCGTCGTCGCATCTCAGGGTGTACTCGTGCGACATGGACTGCGACGGGACCGCCGCCGCCGCCGGGGGTAGACTGGGGAACGACGACGTCATATTTACTATCCGAACGTCGTCGTCGTCCACGCCGGCCCGTCGTCCTGTCGTCGCGGGTCGATTTGATTTGGCAACCAGACCTCACGTGTACACGTACACGTACAGTACGTGTACACGTACACACAACCACCTATCAAATTACCACAGGGTATGGGCGAGTACGCCCGCCCCTATACTTGGGGCTTTTGTCATCGGTTACCGTATGCGGGACGACGCCATTCTAGCAAGGTTAGTAGTTTTAGGGTAGATCCTTGCGATAGATGGCTTTTGAAATCCCTATGTTGTCGGCAACACCGAGCCTACGGCTACTTTCTGCCGCAGAGCATAGACTTTTTTAAAAACTTTCATGGATAAAAAGTATAAATAATGACTACCCCCGAACTATTTTTCTTATACACAAGAATTGTTTATAAAGTTATAATGTTATAACATTTTTTCAATAATAAGTTAAGTAGTGATCGTAGTTTATACTTTTTCTCGGGATCCGGGGTCTGTTTTGAAGCACAAAGGCTGACGGAAATCACGAGTCTCTGGGGGCGTATCTGGAGCGAAGCGACCCAATTCTCTGTTTTCGACACATGTTCCAGTCCTATTTTAGACCACACACATATGCGTAAAAGGTATAAATAATGACTACCCCCAAACTTTTTTTCTTATACACAAGAATTGTTTATAAAGTTATAAAGTTATAATATTTTTTCAATAATAAGTTAAGTAGTGATCGTAGTTTATACTTTTTCTCGGGATCCGGGGTCTGTTTTGAAGCACAAAGGCTGACGGAAATCACGAGTCTCTGGGGGCGTATCTGGAGCGAAGCGACCCAATCCTCTATTTTCGACACCTATTTTAGACCACACACATATGCGTAAAAGGTATAAATAATGACTACCCCCAAACTATTTTTCTTATACACAAGTTTCCATCGAGACGCTCAAGTCCGCGGGCGTCGTGAAGGCGACGGGGTAAGTTTATAAAGTTATAAAGTTATAAATATTTTTTCAATAATAAGTTAAGTAGTGATCGTAGTTTATACTTTTTCTTAGAGTCATCCAGGGTCTGTTTTGAACCACAGGGGCTGACGGAAATCACGAGTCTCTGAAGCAGCAACTGCAGTGAAGCAACATTTCGACACCTGTTTCAGTCCTATTTTAGACCACACATATATGGATAAAAAATATAAATTATGACTACCTTCGAACTCATTTCACAATACACAAGAATAGTTTAAGAGTATGTAAAGATATTTTTTTTTCGTAGTTTATACTTTTTCTCAGGATCTGGGGTCTGTTTTGAACCACAGGGCCAGACGGAAATCACGGGTCTCTAAGGCAGTGAATGCAGTGTCACTACATTTTGACACCTGTTTTAGACCACACATATATGGATAAAAAGTATAAATTATGACTGCCTTCAAACTATTTTCACAATATACACAAGAATAGTGTAAGAGTATGTAAAGTTATATATTTTTTTCAATAATAAGTTAAGTAGTCATCGTAGTTTATACTTTTTCTAAGGGTCTGAGGTCTGTTTTGAACCACGGGGGCTGACGGANATCACGAGTCTTTGGGGGCGTATCTGGAGCGTAGCGA